GCTCAGTGTTACTAAAAGACTGCGTTTTTTCAGTGTTTTTACCAAACAGGAGTATTTCATCCGTGTATTTGAGTCGATAGATGGACCTCCTGTATAGAGATCAATTCCCGAAAATTCAGTCGACGAGTAAGTTGTTTCCACCAGTAGGTCTACGATGAAGATGAACAAAAATGGAGATAGTGGACAGTCTTGCCGGACATCACTTGAGGTTGCAAAATCAGATGACAGTCCGCGGTAAGCTCTGGCTCCACTGGTAGTGTTGGAGTAAGGAGCCTTCATAAGGTTTATGTACTTCTGAGGTACACCTTCCAATGACAGACAGTGCCACAGAACCTCTCGGTCTACCGAGTCAAATGCTGCCTTTAAGTTAAGGAAAGCCATCATTGTCGGACGCCGATAAGCATACCTGTGTTCTAAGGTCTGTCGAATGGTAAATATGTGGTCTATGCAGCCACGACCAGGTCTGAAGCCAACCTGATTTCCTCGTGTTTGAAGTTCACGAGTCTTTGTTAGGCGTCCGATAATTATCGAGGCTAGTATTTTAAATGCTATATTAGTCAAACTAATCCCTCTATGGTTGTCACAGGATGATTTTGACCCCTTCTGATATATTGGGACGAATAGTGATTGCTACCAGTCAGATGGGATTACGTCCAACTACCAGATTTTAGTTAAAATATTAACCAACCTAATTGCTAAAATTGAACCACCATCCTTAAGGACCTCTGGAACCAATCCATCTGGACCAGCTGCTCTTCCTCGTCCTATTTTAGCTATGGCTTTTTGAACTTCAATCAGAGGCGGGAGACCTACTCCAATATTCCATTTAAGCTGTTTGGGAATGATGGGTAGCTGTAGAGTAGCTAAAGGTCAGCTTCTTAAAGTGTTCCGCCCATCGTTCTAAACGTCTGGACTGGGAGCAGATAAGAGTGCCGTCTTTTCACGAAATAGTCTCACTTATTAATTTCAGTTTCTTTTATTAATCTGTAGAGCTGTCTTACGTTACCTACAGTCGCCACCTTTTCCATCTCTTTTGCTTTCGTTGCCCACCACTGCTCACGGTCGTTCCTTAGGCTTTTGCTTAACCTAGATCTGATTTGTTTTCGCTCTTCATCGTGTTCGGAGCCTGATGGGATGAGTTTACGAGAGTTAATCAGTGCAATAGACTTGGCAGAAATCCACTAGTTTTTCGTGACCCTTTGGTTCAAATCACTGATAGATATCGCCGCTGTCTCTACAGCTGTTTATTTATCTCTCCAAGCAACATCTGGGTCAGCCTCATTTTCAGAACTGCCTAAGTGTGACCTCAGTTGTTCCTGGAATCTACTTTTGCGTTTCTGAGCTCTAGTGGGTCTTCCTAATGTGGTTTTTCTGTATCCAGTGAGGCGCAAGCAAATGCGTGCTCGTATTAGAGCATGATCAGGTTCTAAACATGTACTCCAGAACGAGCTGCAGTCTTTTACCGAGCCTCTCCAACGATGACTGATGGCAATATGGTCTAATTGAGTCCACCGTTGGTTTGGTGCAGGGGGTCGCCATGTTAGACGATGTCTCTGCTTATGCTTAAAATTAGTGTTTGCTAAAAATAAACCATTGTCTGAGCACAGTTGAGGCAGATGATCACCATTATCCGTTCGCTGAATCGGAATACCAAAACACCTACCTAAATGTCTCTGTTTGCTTTAAGCTACCTACTTAGGTATTAAAGTCACCTACTACGAGTACTATGTCTGAGTGTTTAGCTTTTTGAAGTTCAGAAAGTTTTCTGTAAAAATCAGTCCACCAGAACTAGACGTCGGGTCACCAGGTAACCGGAAGGTATTTCTCGTCAGCTCCCAGTTTTGGCGAGGTAAGGTCAAGTGAGTGATCACACCAGGATCTTGTATGCGTGTTTTGGAGACACAGCATACATCAATGGTACGAGATTCTATGGTTTTAGCCAAGGAAGCCTGCTGACCGATTTGACATAGTGTGCGTACGTTGAAGGCTTCAATGTGTAGTTTGGAGCGAGGTTTCAGTAGACCTGGGACGGTGTTTTGAGCACTAGAATCGTTGGCTATGATGACACTTAAGGGGGAAGCCGAAAAAGGAAGTTTAGAGGTGAAAGTTGATGTAGGAGGAATAATAGGAAGTGAAGACGGAGGTTGATTATGAATACAGTGGTCTTGAGTGCTGTTAGAGGTATGAGGGCGGTTATCACTTCCCGGTTGCCCACACCGTGGAAGGGTTCTTCTAGAGGTACCTGAAAAGGAAATTGTGTTAGGGGTGGTCTTGGTGACCCGAGAGCGTGACCGCAGTGCCCAAGAGACAACTGCTTGAGGCCGGCCATACGCAACTTTTTTGTGAGTAATTTTCGTTCTGGCTCCATACTTGTTGAAACCTTACCGCTGGAGACGGAAATCCGTAAGATAGGGTGAGATGTGTGCTTTTAGGGTCGACACTTTCTTACCCTACCCTTCCTTGTAAGAAGGCAGCATCGCTGTTATTTTATGAATAATAAAAAATACTGGTGGTAGTATTTTGTTTCTTTTGAAGCATTGGTTTAACTGTTACGAGACCTTGTAAAACCTGTATACTCATCGCCAGAAAAGTTATGGGATCAACACCAAGTTCTTGTATTAGTTTTGAGTTTTCTGTATAGCTAAATCAGCTATACTATCATTATGGTATATTTTCTAACAGTCTTTAGCTTCTGTTAGTAACAATTTTAACTGTTAATAGTTGGTAAGTAGTCTCAAGGTATTAAATCGTAAATATATATAAAGTAGCCTTCTAACAGCAAAGGTCATCACATGAAATTATGACGTGGTGGGATAGTTGCACTTTGAATATTTGAGTAATTAATTTAAATATGCCCATTAAATCATAAAACAATTTATTTGAGGAAGGGATCCTTTTCAATTAGTTCATTTTTAAAGCCGTATAATCGTACCGAGATGTGATAAGTTGTAGGTCGACGAATAATTGTGTATTTTAGAACTTGATTAACTTCATCAAGTATGAGAAATATATAATTAATATGGTGTAAGGTTTAACTACGAGTACCATCAAGCTAAAATAAGGGACTTAGTTAAATAAACGGACTAAAACTACACAACTTGGGTTTTAAGTGATGGATAGCCAAAGCTTTCGCATCATAAATTGCGTTCAGCGATACCTCTCTTGGTATCTATAACTGGATTTTGTAAATGACGTCGAACGAATCGGAGGATAAATGTCCTGTGTTTAACACATGCTTCAAAATTGATGATATAATTGAGTTATGTACACATGTTTTGATCTATGCTGGTAGATGCCTCAGAATGCAACAAAAAAGCAGCCTCGACGAACGACTTAATTACTAAACTTAACAAGTGAACTGGTACACACACATTAAATTGATCAGTTTCGGTACTTTATCTTTCACAAGAGGACACATAAAAGGAGAAATACATTGGTTTGTACTCTATGTTAAATTTCGTCCTAATTTTTCCCTCCAAACGGCTTTTCAGCATATCACCAACAATATCTCCCTTAAACTAGATTTAAAAAGATTGTCTTTTGAACGATAGATTTAATTTGTGAAAGTCTTTTCTACTTCATTAAACGATAGTAAAATTCATAAATGCATTGATTTTTAATATGTGTTCTACCTCTGTTCTCTAATGTTCAGGAACTCAACGAAACTGCTAAACCATGTTAGTAATCTATCTTGTTACATTTTATAGTTCAGAAGTCCTGTTTTGGATTTGCATTTTTACAATGTTTCAGTTTGTTCTCTAATAATTCTTAATTATTAGTCTCAGTAAGAGTTGCTTACCAGCTATTTTATCATGGCTATTCACGTTTATTTATTTATTTAAACACGTAGACATTGGTACAAGGAGGCACCAAATATACATGCGCCACATAAATCATTCGACTCATGTGAGGGCTGGAATACCACCCTGGCCCCCAAACCGAAACAGGTGGTCTTCTTGGGAGGCCACACCCGGAGCCTTCGACCTGAAGGTCTAATCCATGAGGCAGTGGAGCAGCGTAAGGAGTTGCAGTCCCATAGTAGCTGGTGACCAATAATTGGTTCATACGCTACTTGTTTCCTCAGGATCCTGGAGCCCATGTGCACCATTGGTTTGGAATCAGGGTTTTCCAATTCCCTTAGGTGGATCCTCCGTATACACCAACCCGGTTAAAACGCCGGACATTCTCTTTTCATCCTCTCAATTTCGTAAATGACTCCCCCACCGCGAGAAGGCAGTGAATAGGACTTCCCTGACAGTGGCTGTATTTCGAGAGGGAGAGCTAACTCTCCTCATCCTCGGCCGTACCAGGGCATTTGGAGGCACTATTCACGTAATTGGCTACGTTGTTCAAATAGTAAAAGAAACTGCTTCGTATCCTTTGATTTTTGCCATTAAAGTTTTCTAGGAAACTCTCGAAAATATTGAACCGAAATTCACTGTCAGATAGTATTTTAAGTAGTTTTCGCAGTTGTGGGAAGATCAAACTAAATCTTATTATGTTTTATGATTGTGATATCACGTTTTGCTATCATGAATATGGTACGAAAAGCTAGTTACTCTATATCTTTTATATTTTCATTCCTACTAGTTATCAACTTCAAGATGTTCCACTCGAATCAGTTTTATTCCTTACAGAACATGGCATTTATTGTCGAGAAACTAAAGCGTCTGAAACATTTATGAATACTGATGGATATATTCTTTTGAGAATTATTTTCACTATATTTGATAATAATTCACCTTTCTCGTCTTAAAAGCCCATTAAATGTTTATGCTACCTAGTTTTACTAGGTATAGAGAAGAAAAATCATTTTCATGGGTTACCTCTAAGTAACCAGTTATTTATTTATAAAACCTGTTGTCACAGATCTATTTGATGCGAATTGGTATCTTAATTATCACTAAGAATTATTTGGAAGTAGTAGTATGGCCAAATTGTCCTTATTTTTCGCGAAAACTATGATTCTATTGGTCCTAATCCATTTTTTATGTTTTTAGTTATGCCTACAGACCAAGTTTATCGAAAATCAGGAAGTCCACAAGCTTCTACTGAGGTTTCTTCTTTGCAACTAAATCGGACTAAAAACAAAGAAGGTAAATCAATCACTGTTATTAACACCTCTTAATGTTTTCAAGCACTTGAGAAAAGCCTTAAGTGCAGACGTTCTGTAAAGGAGTTAGTCAATCAAGGGATATTACTAAATCGTATATCAAATTTTAATCTAACATTTCTTTCATTATAGCCTCTATTTCACACCCTGATAAGGTTCGCCAATTGCAAAAAGCTAAGGTTTCGTTTACAATCTTTCTAATACGTTTTTGTTTCCTTAGACTAGTGATTTATTGAAACGTAAAATTGGACAACGGCCGGACAGACAGTATCTTATCAGCCATCATATCTTAAGGGGTAATTTTTCTCCAGTAATAATTTATGATTTTAGACGATAAGCCGAGGACTTCACCTTTCGTCCTTGAGCAATGTTACAATTTAGAAAAGTCTCAGCTAAAGGAGACATTAGCCGCGAAGCTTATTTCCAGACCTGGTTCATTGGAGTTAGTTGAGAAAGGAGTTCTGCAGGTAAATCAGTGTATTCGTAAGGAATTATTTTTGTATTTGTTCACATGAATTCAGGTACTCGACGCCGTTTTACTATTATTTTAATGTATTAATTATATTCGTTATTTATTTTTACGTGACATGACACTGTTGAAAAAACACCGATATTATCTTTTATGAATGAATAATACCTAACTTTATAGTGTCTACTGTTTGCAGTACATTTTGCTATATAACTTAAGGATAAGTTCAATCCATTTTTATCTCTTCTTACACCGTGAACACTGTTCTAGTTTTTCCGATCGCAACTATGGTTGATTACTTATGTGATTTAAAGACGCATAAACTGATGTGTAAATTCAATTGTGTAAAAAAGACTAATATTCAGCGACTAGTAAATAAATTCATCTAGATACAAACTAAGTTGAGCTAAATCGAATGATACCTCCAGTTTGACTTTAAATATCGTATACCTAAATAACACTAAACCTGATTTTCTAATGGGTGAAAATAAATCTTATCACCTAGCTCTACAAATCTAATTCAGAATCATTCATAGGGTTACTAGTTGTACAAACTGTTTGTGGGTGAATAAGTGCCCTGCTTCCCAAATTAAAGTACTTATAGAAGTATGGTAAACATAATTATTCATAAAGATAAGGTTATTTATTTTAGGTATTTGATAAAATATTAACATTGTATGTTGTATCTTTTCCTTATTATTATGTTATCGGTTGTTTTAAATATATTCCCCCAACCGTAGGTTGATCCCGGTGTTGATTCACTCATCAAACAAGGTTCTATCCAATATCCTAGGGTCGAGTCCGTTTCATTGGAAAGGATTTCATGTGAACGACTACAACCTATTCAAGAATTGATCACTATCCCACCACCTCCGCCACTTTCATCAACTACAAAGGCACACTGTACAAATTCCAGCCGTGTTGTTTCTGGAAGAAGTCGTTTAATTAGTTCGAATAAAACATCCACAAGTCGGGCAATTCGAGACGACACTGTTGTTTCAAAATTAGGTTCATTGGTTTTTCATCAGTATTGTCCAGACTCATCGAGTTCATCTTCTCCAAGCCTAGCTAATGTCTCATCCTTTCAACAAAAACAACGAGTTCGGGAATTACAACAGGTTGAAATGTTACGTCTCCAAGATACCGCACGTGCTCATCGTCTAGTCGAACAAGAATTGTGTGAGCGCGTAAGTACATGTAAAAAGCCCCTACATGAAGACACATCCTTCATGGATCTGACTCCTAACACATTTAATAATCAAATGAATAGTCAACTAGCATTATCCTGCACTTCCAGTTCAATGTCGTTGCAAGTCTCTCCAAACCCTTCAAACTCAATAGTTTGTTCTAAGAATCAGATTGGTTTAAGTAACCAACGGACTGGTTCTTCAAAAACGTTACCGTTGGAATCTAATTTTAACTTACCCAGTCTTGCTCATCTTACTCTCACTCAACTTAAAGGGGAATGCAAGGACAGAAATTTACCTCGTGCTGGTTCTAAAATGCAATTAATGCGCCTGTTAAATCCATATCGCCGTGAAATATTGGTAAAATATTTTCCTAATTCTGTAATGAAACAAAGTGAAGAAATCGAATTGGGGATAAATGGACCTCTTCAGTTTTATCATAATGCAAATCAAACACAGTCTTTCGTAAAACGTCAGGACCAACATCAAAAACGTTTGGTGAATTCTGAGCAACCTATGATGGATATCGATGTCAACTTAAAAGATTTTGACTCATCACTACTATCCCAAACTAAACCTGTGAATTTATGCACTACAGTATTTTCTTCAGGATCTACAATGCCAAAAGATCTACAAGTATACTCTGATGTTGTTATGAGACCAGACGGTTCCAATGTGTTATTTGCTCAACCTTGTGTCTCATTAAGGCATTCTGTTTCAGCACCATTCTTTCCGGAAGTTTCGTCTAACTCGTCCTCAGGTGGGTTTACTTTTCCCACTGTAGAGTAAAAAATCTGAAGGTTATTTGTAATGTACCAAAATTACTATCCAGAATACTTTAGGAATTATAATAACTTCAATAGTGATATTTTATACCCTATATCTAGTCTTTGTGAACATGAAACCGTTTCACTAACGTGATGCAATTTAGTACTAATTTCTATGTTCATGCATCAGCTTTAACTCATGCTTATTTTAGTAGGAGAGCTAACACTATTACTCGACTGCTTAAAATTTATTAGAAAACATGGAATTCGAACCCATGGAGTTAATTGCTCGAGTCAGTTTGTTTCATTTTTTGCATATCCTCCATTGCATTAACGCTAATGCTAAACTGTAAGGACATTAACTTGTAATATATCTATATAGAGAATATTAGAAGTTTGATATTTTCAAACTTTTTAAACTTTATATATCAATGTTGCCAAGTATATGCAACACAGATGTACACATTGAACATCAGTGGATTGAGCGTAATCTGGATCACTGATAAGTTATCACTCAATAAAAGAATGTGTTTCTCATAATTTGGGTCTCCGTATTTTTTCTTTAGACATTACCTTTACTTCATCTAGACTGGCTTTCTGAAGAGTTTTTTCTACAATATCATTAATAGTCTTAAACAAGAAGAGATAAGACTAAATAACCGCATTTCAGACAAGTTCCTGTTTATAAAGCCTGCTAGTATTTATAAGGTAGAAAAACAAACAAAATTTATTGTAATGCAGCAATTTACAGGTCCGAGTTATTCACATTTCGTTATCGACACAATTAAGGTAAATCGACAATAAAAGTAACTATTGGTATCAATACTATCAATAACAAGAAACCAAGAAATAATGCAACAGAAAACAATTCTATGAGAGGGGATAAATATCGATTAAGATGTTCATTGGCTTCAGTAAAGAAATATGAATGTATCTGTAGCGTTGTGTTTAATTTGAAGTCGACCAACCAATAGCGTTTAATCGTATAGCGTTTTCAGAACTCTGACTCACTTTTTTCGAGCAGATTTGGGTAGAATGAATTTCCAGAAAGTGGCACCATTTAGCAGATTGAAATAACATGCTTATATATAAATTATTAGCAGAAAAATATGATAAAATGTCATAGGCGATTGAAGGAAATCAAGTCATAGGTCACTCATTCTCCAATCAATTAAGATCCAATTGTTGGGCCTGACTTTCTGGCGTCGTGTCAGGAATCCATTTTATTAGTATCATCTTTCACGTAGATCTATGAAATTAGGACTAAGGGTCCTGGTGCTTTTTTATATGAATATTCCATTATATATTTCGAACATCTAAATGAAATCTAATGGTGGAGTCAATTTCTCTCAGGTTTTGCATAATTTATGTGATTTGACGGCAGAAGATATCTTGGATAGTCAGTATGTCTCAATAATTTTTACCCATAGTTCGTAGATTCTTAAAAATTATCTTAAGTCAACGGATTCATCATAAAGTGATATAGCACTCTTGGACTATCATAACTTCTTAAAAAATAGGGAATTCTGCGATTCTGGTAGACAAAGCCGTTTCTGAATATCCATAGTTTCGTTCTTATTACGATAAATTATCTTCATCGCGGAAATTATTGAGACATTTTTATTCCAGCCAGTTTTTTCTTGATGTACGTATTAGTTTCAAAAGTATTTCTGTTGGCAGAATGAACTTAACCAGACGTATTCATGGATTTGGTTATTCAGTAAAGTTTAATCGTCTGTAATTATTGTGTGGAAAAACTCGAACTGAAATTTACTTTTTGATGGCTTTTGTCCCATATTAGTTGATGTATGGTTTTTGTTTAACCCTAAAATAGTTTTATTCGTTTTTTATCCACAATGGATTTTTTTTCCTTACAGTGTAACCGTGCTTTTATTATCTTTTAAAAATGTTTTCCTTATTCTATGATAGGACACACAAATCATTTTCAAATTCCTTCTACACAAGGTAATATATCTTCGACAACTCTAATACCGGTTACTTTCGTTAATGATAATACAATGAGTGAAACAGACCAAATTTCACAAATTCCTGTCTCAACATATGAATTACAGTTTGTTCAACCTACATCGAAACAATCATTTGTATGCATGACTCCAAATGTTCTTTCAGACAATCAAACATCATCCAATGGAAATCTTTTACATCATCATCCATTAACTAGTATTCCGTCATCGGAATCTGGTTATATTATCACTTCAAATCAACGTCTCCCATTACCCTTATCTATAGATAATAGCGTATCATCACCATACAGTGAATCACAGACGATGCATCATACTTCTGTAAATAACTCACTTGACAATCAATCATTTTCCGTATACTCACCAGTAGCAACATCAAATCCTACTGGTAGTGAAGGTGGCGGCGGTGGTTGTACTGGTTTTTCAACACCATCGACAACACTTCATCAAATTGAAGAGATGTGGTTAAGGATTCGTCAATTAAGACGTAATATTGAACAGGTAATGTTCGAAATGCAAGTACTTAACTCTGTTCTTTTTTCCCTCTTTCTACTAATTTGTCTATCGATGCATATATATATATATATATATATATATATATATATATATATATATATATAGGTTTTTAGGTAAGGTAAATGAACTTATTGACCTATTGGAAAGAGAAAGCATTCTTTCAACGATATCGCCTCAACAATAAACCTAATGCCTTGTTATTAGGTCCTTGTTATATACTACATACAATGAGATGGTTAATAATAATTTTGATCCATATCGTAAAATAGTTGTTTTGGATGGAGTCGAATAATATTTTCATTGTATCGATGATATTTATATTAATGAATTGTACTAAATAGCCTTAAAGTAGTGAGATTTATGATATGGAGGTTGTATTATAGAGTAGGTTTTTAGTTGATTAATATAGACTGCGATTTCCCTCTCTGTTTTAGATCACTCACTAGTAATGAGCATGATAAATGATAATATAAGTCATTAGTCAATGTACAAAATCATGTAATATGCTATTTTGATATTTTACAACTTTTCAGTTTAAAACAGATGGGTAGATAACTGAATCATTAACTTCGATGATTGTGAATCGAGTATTAGTTGGACCGATTATTGTTAGTATGATCAGCTTCTGATTCAGCAGCTTCTCACGTTCAGTGGAAAGATAATCCAGACAAACTGATTCATAGCTTTCCCACCATGTGATACTCTCAGATGTTTCTAAAAGATGATGAGTTTCTTTTATCAAATAGCCTTGCGAAATAAATACTAGAAGTATCTTACTTAATCTTGTATATATACTTCTATGCTGTTTCGAAATATGTGTTTTATTTAAGTTTATTTTTGTCCTGAATTCTACTGACCTGAATTAAGACAGGTTGGTTAGAGAATTATAGGCAGGAAGGAATGCAACAGTGGAGATTAAAAAAAAGGACTCAGGTCGTCAATATCGAACAGCCAACTGAGTTGAATATTTCAACATGTAAGGTGGTGGTTGGAGCTAGTCGATAGGGAACCCTAAACCCAGTCTTCGTTTTTTATTATTTATTTATTTGAACACATAAATATTGGTACAAGAGAGCGCCAATATATATGCTTTTTGGCACTCATAAAAAAGCTGTACATGTTATCTTGGATGAAATAATGCTCCCTGACGGATTCGATCATGTATCAACTACCTTTAAACATTACCTCACAGCTGAACATAATGCATGCGATGTTGAGTCGGTTCGACTAGTGGCTGCACTGCAATTTGACCGATTAGCATTAAGAAGGGGTTGAAATATATGACATTGATCACTACTCGATGGTCAGTCAACTGTAAATATTTCAACATGAACGGCAGAGACATTTCAATCGTCAAATAAGTTTAATTGAGATGTTTACCTATGGCCTTCAGACTCACATCCATCTAGGTTTATTGGTAGAGTTGCCAGTAGTATTTTTAAATTTATTAATTATTCAGAGTGCGGACATACTTTTTAATGAGTGAGTTAAGCGTTGGGGTGACATTCAAAATGGAATTCATAAAACGGAATAATGCCTAGAAGACTAGGTTGTTAGTATTGATAAGTCTTGCTAATTGAACGCTATATTCGGTTCCTGAACTATTCTCGTAACCCCCAAGCTAAAACTACACAGCGGCCTGAACATGAGAGAAAAGGCGCAAAGTATGTGAGAAGCGCTTTGCTCCAAAGGTTCATTTTAGTGCAGAAAATATAGGGTTTTATAGTATTTTAGATGTCCTTGGTTTCCCCGAAACTCTGGAATGTTACTAAACATAGTAGCATTATAGTAATCAGCCAATCAGTGACTCTACATGTGACTTTTCACTTTCTTGATGTTTCTGGCTAAACTACTGGACGCTGATTGGATAAAGTGCTTCTTAGTGTTTTCTGAGCCTTTTTTGTCTTTTGCGGGAAGTTTTCTGGATTACCCCAACAGGTATACAGTCTAAGGACCAGGAAACACATTTATTTGGTCATATTCTGGTGATGTTTCTTCGGTCGTTCAGTTCCAGGTCCCTCAGCCATAGATATCCATTAGAATACGAATTAACAAAACTTGGTAATTTTCAGTATGGGGTTGCGGAGATTGTTGAATTTCATCTAAATCGTCAACCGTTCTAATGAGTAGTCTAAGTTTGATGGGTTCATCATTTCAATGAGATTGTTAACTTATATCAAAGAAAAGATTGGTTAAGGCTTTCGAAGTTTTATGTATTACACATGTCGACCAGTCAAGGAGATATAGAACTCAGTGACGACAAATAATATTAGAAATTGGGAGCAAAACAAATTAAAAATAGGAATTCACATATATAATTTGAATCATTTAGGTAGATTGTTGTTGAACATTCAACATTCCATAAAAAGGCTTTATTGATTAATCAGGAAACAGTTACTTTCACCCGAAAAATTACCTAAGTATAAATTCTCATAAGCAATTTAGCATCGTCAATGCTTTCGAAGTTTTCCGAACGTTCATTATTCATATGTGATTGAGAAATCATTCATCACAGTTTTATCTAATTTAGATAAAAATATATTTTAAAATTACTTTTGAAGTTTTCCTTTCACCAGTTAGGAGATAATTTCTGAAACTCAATCATCTATAAATAGTAACATCGAACTTGGCGTAGATATGCATCTATCCGAGTTGTCACATCACACATCAGCATAATATGAGAGAAGTTAACAAAATGTATAGCGCAGAAGTAAAGGTAACAATAACTTTGTCTATGATATAGTTTAAAAAGAAACTGCTGTTCTATTTTCAAAAAAAGAATTAACAGATTTACTTCTTACGTACGAACAACGGTGTTGAAGTTTTTCTGATTATATTTACTGATCAGTGTTTTATGTATGAAAATGATTGATAGTATAGTACATTTTTAACTGATTCATCAATCAACATGTATATTCATTGCATTTAATGAATAAATTAGGTTATGTATCTAAATTAAGACACCAGCTTGTATTTATTTTTAAGTACTTTCCTCAAGACTTTTACGCACTTCAAAGATAATTCATTATCAAGAACTGATATCATCCAAAGAATCATTGGAAACCAGTGACCAACAAATAGATCTGTCGTTATAGTTCAGCATAGGACAGTAGTGGACACTAACAAACACGCCCAGCCACACTTATCTAGAAGTACAATGTTAAGTGGCCTGAGAGTTGGTCAGAATAAACTAAGAGTGAACGAATCAAGATATAACATCAATTTATGAAATTATTTGTTGCTGATCTGAACAATATCAAACTTCCTGCTTAGGTCTCTCGCATTAGTTACAGTCAATGCTTGAAAAAATCAAATGATATAGCACAAAATTGTTTACAATAGTACAACCGCAATTAGTTTATATGTTTCTCTAAATCTTGAGTTTACTGTCATCCTGGCTTCCCATTTTGGATTTCGTTTGTTTCTTTTTAACTGAATTTCTCATGTTTAGATTTTTATTTTTCTTGATTCTATTTTCCTTCGTATGTTTTTCCTCCTGTTGATTTCCTCTCGTTTTACTGATATGATGTATGATAACTTAGATTGATGCACACTCATGATAATGAATGTCTGACTGAGTTACGCACCCATGACTTCACACAAAATTGAACTCAAAGGCCTTCAGTTCTCGACTGTAGGAGATTTCCTAACGTGATTTATTTTCAATTTGTTTACTTAACATTTGGATGGTTTAAGTGTTTCTTGTTTCTGTCGTGTAAGGATGTAATTTCAGATTTTTTCCCAATGATTTTCACTGATTGTGTTTGCAATAATTATTGCACATTAAACACTCACTTGCCTTAATGCTTTTTTGTTTTTATTTCTAAAATATTTTAGACGAAAATTTCACAATATAGTTCAAATGAGTCTGAAACTTTGTCAGCTCCAGCAAATTTAGAATATTTACAACAAGAACACAATCGTTTAGCAGTACTTTGTCGTCTGCTCATTATTGAACGTTTAGATACGTTGGATGAAATAAGTGCAAATGGTACTAGATTGTAAGTTTTCACTTAATTGTTTGTAAATTGCGTTTCACCATACAAAATTACTGGAAATGTGACCCATTAATATTTAACTGTTTACCTTTTTAAATATAACAAATTCCAATCCTATTTTCAACTAATACATTACAGGTCCAAAATTTGTTCTAATTACTTTAGTTTGACTGGTCAGGCAGTATTACGTGTAAAGAGTGTGGTGGCTGAAAACCGACTACATAAATCTGTACTTGTTGAATGAGTTACATGAATTACAACTTTTTCTGGACAGTTGAGTATTATGGATTGTACACGGTGTTTAGTTCAGTACACAAAATCTGTACAAAGTTGCTGAACTAAATCTGCAGTGTTTTCACTAAGAGAATAAACAGTTGTTTATTAAATCATTGCACAACACTTTTTGTTAAGTTTTTGTGATGCAAATACCTTAGTATTTCCGTTATGCTTGTTTGTTTTTTATATCGAATAAATATACCTAAAAATTCAGTGACTCAGTGGGTTTTTTTCATTATACCTAGAAGTATTGTTTGTGAATGGTTGACATTTTAAGGTTTGTCTTTAAGGTGATATTTTCCGTCTCAAGTGTTTTAGTGTTCAGTTTCACTTTTTATGTAGTGACATTGTGCGGCTAGTATCATAAATCTCAAATAAAAACCTCAGATGATAACCTAAGTTTTGCTGAATAGTTTTAGCTCAAATGGTATATGATATAAACATGAAATTTCCAGTCGTTCAGTCAATGGTTTAGGCTCATCCAATCTATTCTAGTTTGGGTGAGTTGGGTGGTATCGTTAGTCTTCATAGACTAACGACTTCGCTATGTTGTGAATTATACGTAATCTTGATCATATATCGCATCGTTCGGTAGTGACGCGGTTGATATATGGGTATAAACTATTGAGAAAACTTGTAGAAGAATAGATTTTCTAGATTTCTACTACATTCTAAGGGTATAATTAGGGATATGACAGAGGAGGAACTTGTCAAGTCATTTAGTGTTGAGGATTCCCTACTGTGCTAGTGCTGAATAAAGATAGTATTATTGTTGTATTCTTGTTATTAGTTAGCGTATGACACACAAAATTGCTAAGATGCATTTTTGGAGGTTAAAAAAGTCATTCAACCAATAGACTTCCTGAATACTCTTAAAACCAGTAGTTTCAATTAAATATCATAATTAAATTGAATGAGAGATTCTTGGCAAATCCAACATGCTGAAATAAGATTGAGGTTAAGTTTGGGAATCTTATAAAATTGACATCAGTTTGTAAAGTCACTCACTCACTTCTGGGTTATATTTGTATAAGAAGGCGTAAATTTGCTTCCTCTTTATGATAAGTCAGTGGTTGAAGACGTTAAGTGATATGGTCTGAAATGCCTCAGAATAACATAGATACTTTTATTATGTATCTCCTGAATTTTAGGGATTCCATTACTTTTCGTTTATTTTCCACTCTATTAAAATCCTTGTTGTTTACTTTAAAATCCTTCTATTTCTGTTGGATTCAGCATTGTCTATTAAAAATCGAAGTGTTGTCGTCTCCAAATAATTCTGTTCATTGGAGGAGTGACTGCGGTCTAAACATCCAACTTTCGGCCGGTATGTCACAGGGTCAAGTCCCACATCACCTAATTCGGTTTGGGTAACTGGGTAAATATCGCTAGTCCTCACACAAACGATGTGGTTCAAAGCTGAATACATAAATTCCTACTTGGTACATAAGCGGTTAGATTATATGAAAATATAGTTGTGTTAATTTTCGCCTATGACATTTTATCATATTATTTTTCTGTTAGTAATTTATATATAAACATGTCATTTTATTACGTGAAAAAACACATTCATCTGGCTAGTGGTCTTGTTTTTGATTCTTAATCATTCGAGGGTTCAAATCAAGAATTCATTCATTTGAGCCACTATCGTTCGGAAAAATATATCATTGTATTCACGATAGGAATTCTGTTCATTGATTCTGACAATCGACAATTTGATCTCATGAATTATTTAAAAAAGTCATTTATAACAGAAAGGGAGTTCAACTCCTGATTGAGACTCATTAAATTTTATCATTAAACGAGCTTCTGAGATTCAATGACCACTACATATCCTCTAGTGTGCAAAATAGGTTAATTTTATCTAGCACTGGTCATTATGTTCACATAATATAAAGTGTGGTTCAGAATTGCTTACTCAAACTTGTACTTAACTGCTTAGTTACTTTATATATATTCATTATCAAAAATCTGTTTCAGTTTGGGTGTCCGGGCAGTATCCCAGCCCTCACACAAACCGGACGATTTGTGTAGCGCATATATGTTTGGTGCTTCCTTGTACCAATGTTTATGTGTTTAAATAAATAAATTATCAAAAAAATTGTTTAAAGTATTATTTATTATAACCTGACATCATTAAGAATAATACGTTAAGTGTGTGATCGATTTATATGTATACATTGCCAACATTAGGTATATATATATCGAAAGTTTGATTTCCAAGGTCGGTATATTTTCATATATATATATATATTTTCGTGTGAAAGTATTAAAAGGGAATCGATATACTTCACCGTTTATAATTAATTAGACAGGTATTTTTCTTAAAATAAGATGTATCATAAAGACGTTGACATGTTTAATTTTTATTTATAAAGTTTCATTTTTATATGACAGACATTTAGATAATTATGACTCACTGTTGGTATAAATGTGAGAAAGCAGTTGTGATTGGTAAAATGTAATTTCCATGTTGACAAGGTAATTTTTAGACTATATATATAGATTATGGAAAGGTGGAATTTGAGTTAGGCGAGAATATAACTTCTTATAGACATGTGTTGTATTTTTGAAATGTTTTTGGTCCCGTTTGAGTAAAATATCAATACTGTACCTCCAATATGTTTTATCTATTCACTTATATGATCAACGACGTTTATTGTTTCATACAAATGTTATTCTCAAATAATTAGAGCTCATTATATAAACAAAAAGTACTTTATAATAATAATAATAATAATAATAATAATAATAATAATAATAATAATAAAGATTACATTTATTATACATCATATTTATGAAGGACTCCAATTAAATTCAGGTTTACTAAAAACGAAACATATGAAGGTTATACATTAAACATCATTTTATTTATAATCTATCTACATAATGAACTTGACCTGATGTTTCAGCATTTAATTTACGTAAGTTGTTCAAATTTTTTACTTACTGTAATAAGAAAACATTTGACGATTGTTAGGTTAGTGAATGTAATATGCTGATTAATTGATAAAATTTGGTCGAGTGGTAACTACTGAAGAGATGGGGTTATTGACTCACACCTCTGAAGGAACTGGTATCAGTGACAAGGGAACTAGTCCAAATAATAAGCGTTTTTGTTTATCTAATCAAATAACGCCGGATACATACGAAATAATGAACACAAAAATAAATATAATTGGAGGTCAATTGAAAAGTGACCAATCAAAACGTAAGGATTTCGTAGTTTACTTAAGTACTAACAAAATTAACACTTGTTCATCTCACTTAACTCTTAGACATGCAATCAAGTATACCTTCAAAGTTTATCATCACAAGTATCAATTTTTTGTGACTAATTCATAATTGTCCAGAGTAAATTGTTACTAAAAATGGTTAAGATTTCATGTAGTAGATTGATAAAATCAATGGGTGGATGATTTTTATTTGAATCCTAGGTAATTTTATTTATTTATTCATTTAAACATATATTGGTACAAGGAGGCACCAAATAGGCATGTGCCACATAAATCATTCGACTCATGTGAGGGCTGGAATACCACCCTGGCCCCCAAACCGAAACAGGTGGTCTTCTTGGGAGGCCACACCCGGAGCCTTCGACCTGAAGGTCTAATCCATGAGGCAGTGGAGCAGCGTAAGGAGTTGCAGTCCCATAGTAGCTGGTGACCAATAATTGGTTCATACGCTACTTGTTTCCTCAGGATCCTGGAGCCCATGTGCACCATTGGTTTGGAATCAGGGTTTTCCAATTCCCTTAGGTGGATCCTCCGTATACACCAACCCGGTTAAAACGCCGGACATTCTCTTTTCATCCTCTCAATTTCGTAAATGACTCCCCCACCGCGAGAAGGCAGTGAATAGGACTTCCCTGACAGTGGCTGTGTGCATGTGTATCTAGGTAGCTGCGTAAGTGCTGGTGGTGGCGTGAGTGATGAGATCAGTGCACGTATAGTGAAAGCCAGAGCGGCTTATGCCAATCTGGGCCGTCTTAGGCGCCTTCGTGACGTTAGTCTGGCTGTAAAAGTTCGGATCTACAACGCGTCGGTGAGAGCAGTTTCGCTCTATGCTTGTGATCATTGTTGTCTCCGAAGGATTGCTGACATCCAGTGGCAGCATCATTTTAGTAATGCAGAAGTTCGGAATCGTGTGTTCGGGCACAGAAACGATAATTCAATTGGTGTCACCATCTTGAAACACTGACTTCGGTGGCTTGGACATGTTCTACGAATGTCGTCCCAGAGAATTCCACGTCGTGCATTATTTGCGGACGCTGGGACTGGTTGGAAAGAGCGGAGGGGTGGTCAGTGTATGACATGGTATAGTGGTATGAAATAAAGCTACACAGGACTGGCTTCTGTTGGTCCTTCTCGACGCCCTGGCTGAGGTCCAACGGATGATGCAACACAGTGGCTAGAGACTTTATCAGATATGGCCCAGAATAGAAGCCAGTGATGATCCTGCTCTAACTTTCTTCATAAAAAGTGACCGTAACTTTTTTAACTGAAATAATTCTTTCTGGTTGTACCTTTCCGTTTTCCCCATTATTATTATTTCACCACCATACACTAATTTGTGGTCGTTATTGTTCTTTTTTTACACTCACCTTACATTCTTTATTTCTTCCCATTCCCATTATGATTGTGTGGCGCATATGTATCTCGTACGCCCTTGTACCAATATTTATGTGTTCTAATAAATAAATAAATGTGGCCATGTGAGAGCATTTCGAGAGGGAGAGCTAACTTCCCCCCACCAAATGCTTTCGGCCATACCAGGGCATTTGGGGGCTAATAATGAAATTAAGAATATACGTTTCGTTGTATTTATTATTTATTAGCTGAGTGTACCTCTTTACCGATGTTGTCAAAGAATCATATCCACTAGATTACTCGATCTGGATAACTGTAACTTATTCAATAGGTATAATATTTTACTAAAGATTCTAGTCTCAATGGAACATCAACACTGGATCGCATGTAGATTTAGTTTTTAGAATCGCCACTTAGAGTTAGACACACATCATATATGGTAATGCTAAACACTTTTTATATTCATACAAAATCGTGACACTTGCTTATGAAGCGCCCATATATACACTGACAGACATTAATTAATTAAGCTTTCAATATCCACCAGAAGGAAATAAAAATTTTTTTACGAATAACAAAATGTATGCATAAGTGTTTTTTTTTTTAATAATTCAGTCGCACACATTTTAATCTACAACTCGTTGGCCGTGATAGTATAACGAATAATGATATAGAAATATCTGTGTTTTCAGAATATAAGCACTATTACTTATCAAAATCAGAGAGAGTGAGAATAAAATCAGAATGCAGCAAAAGGACAGTTCATAGGTTTGGTTAATAAGTAATTCTTAATTAACTGATGTAAATCATTATTTACCAAGTAAACAAGCTTTTGATACAATCAACTAATGGCTAAATAAACAGAAGCATTTCTTAGGGTGGATTTTTAAACTTTATAATTTGGTGACTTTGAACCATAAAGTTTTATTAGTAAACCTTCAGTGCATTAGGAATTAAAATAGTATTCTTTGTTGTAAAGTGGTTGTTGATATTTTAAAATTGGGTTTCAGCTAGTTAATTAATATTCATTGTACAATTAACTGCATTTGCTGCATATATGTACTCGTTAAAATTATTCAGATTATCTCTATTTTGCTTTCTTTATCTCTTTTTAACTATCAATGGATTTCTAGGTTATTTTTTGTATATTTTAAAAGAAATATTTAGATTGATTGTACTAGTAAATTTTGCTATGTATATATACATATGTATATGTCCTAAACACAATAGATAGATAGATAGAGTTGATTAGTTTGTATTTCACATAAGTCAATTAAAATTTTATTTGGGAATAATTATTGTTCACGATTATAATAATGTACGATAAATACTAATTAAGGTGCTTATTCACCTTGTCCACGAAATCTGTACGAGGTATGCACTCATGTTCAATCTTTAGAAAAAAATTATTTAACTTTATGTCAGTAAGTCACCCTATATCAGAAGACAACAAATCCGTTCTCTGATGCAATTTGAAAAGGTATCAGTCGTTGAAATTCGGTCTACTGATAACAAGATTAGTTTCTTCACTTGCTTGAAAATTCTCAGATCTTGGTCTCGACCTTTAGATTACTGACGATCATTGGAGATTGTTGAAGGTTACCAAGAGTGTAAGACAAAGGAGGACAGTCGTTTGTGAATCAAATATGTTGACAGTTATTGTCCATAAAAGATAATGTAGATCACCATGAACATGTATTGTTCTCGTGTGCATTATAAAATAATGTAAGGTGTTACTCATGTAAAATCAAAACGTCCTTCATTGTCGTTCGGTAGTTTGCATCCTATTTTTACAGAATATGAGATAATTCGTGAAAGTACCGTTCGACGGAAATTTCAATCACATTACTACCATCAGTAGCTGAATAAAGGTATGAAATCAGGGTCAAAATAATTTAAGGCAATTGACACTTAAGTACAACACGATTGATTACTTAATAATTGCTTTAACGACTAACAATCTTAGTAACTCAATTCTCATATTTATTAAAAAAATCATATTTCGTTAGTGGTGCATATACCAGAACAAATAACGGTAAGCGAACCCAATGAAAAGTATTTCGACGTAATACGAGAAGTATCTTACAAATTGATCACGTCCAGAAGTAATAGTATACTAAAACACTAAAAACCTTTTAGTAGTTAAGTAAGCGCTTCACCATGTCAACGTTACGCTAATCATGTAGAATTCTAGGATTGAGAATTTATTCCTATTCTGTATGTAATTAAGAGGTCAAACTAGGAATTGCTTTTGAAGTCCATTGAAGAAGAAAAATAGTATTAGTAAATGAATTTAAAACTATGCCGTCATAGCTGTCAGATTTGAAAGCAGTTCAATAGGAATTACAGTTATGGTTATTCATATAGATAGACAGCTATTATAACCTAAACTATTGATCATTGTGAAAATTGGGATTTAAAAGTGACCATCTCTATGGTACATGTAACTGTAAGATCGCTTATTCATTTGACTTTAAATCAGTATATGCGAATGCCAGTTATCTGTTGGCTATTTTCTAAACTAAATTGCTCATTCTAGCACGCATTTTTATTCTCTACGATGTGTTAAAACCGAACTAACAAATATTTTATTGTATTCGTGAGTCGACAGATGAATTCACAAGTTCGACTACGTATTTTCACCAATTCTTCAAAGTTTTTAAATATGCACTGGACTGCAATAATCACTTAGAATATACTGAATATAAGCGATGCATATTTTTATCCATTGGATTATCATGCATCATATCTTATCGTCGTCGCCACCATGTTATGTGTTTTTTCTATGTATTTGAATCGTGTATCATTAAATACTAGTGGATTATTTTTGTGTAAATGTTATTCCAATTAGAACTAGTGAACTATACTGGATCAGTATCTACAAAATGATAGTGCGTTGTTAAAAATCAAACCAAATACCTTATTCTATGCATTTTTACTAACTTGGATGTTATCCAAATACCTGATTTTAGACCACAGATTGAAGTTACATTCAATCCCCTTCAAAATATTTGACTAACTATACAACTCTCATCTAATAGGTATTTTCCATAGTATGAATCACAAAACAGGATGGTATTTACAATTGTTTGGCATACGTTTAAGTTATCGGGTTCGGTGTTGCGGGTAGGTATTCGATCACCACTGAAGTCGGCGATCTTTTTGCTAAATAGTGGGTGGTCTACAATAAATAAAATGATGCGAAACCTTCATGAACTGAAACCCAGTAATAATCACCTAGAGTTACTTTCGTTCAAAACTTAAATTTGCGCTCAACTGAGTCGAGAAAATTCTACATAAATATTAGTTCTGGTGTTTAGCCTAAAATATTTACTAGACTCGTTCATTTACAATTCGACTCGCTAACTTAAGTATTTGGTACCTGTTTTACATTTCGTTTCAGTTTTGAATCAAACGATTCGTCCAGTTCTGATTTCAAAATTGAACGAAATTTATTAAATTCTTATTTAAGACGACTTGGTGGTTCAATTTTAACAAATAGTTTATCTTCACCCAATACAGAATCAATCTTGTCAACTAATTCTAGTTCGTTTTTATTTGAGCAATCGAGTTGTGGTCATACAACGAATTATACTACATGTAATACATTACAAACACCGGAAAAAATGTTTTCTGATTCTTATCCTATGACACCTGAGTCAAGATTTGATGATCACGGAAGTGTTGAGTTTACGGACATTACTACTACTAATAGTAATAATAATAGTAGTAGTCATGAATTATTTAATCATGAACAACAATTAACATTAAACAATAATGATATATTGAATCATCACTGTGATGAAGATGATGATGAACAGATTTGTTCTGACTTGCAAAATTCACCTGTTTCTGGTCATTTGAAATCTTGTGCATATGAGTAAGTAACAAATGAATTACTTCTTTTGTTGTTGTACATGTTCCCATAATTTTTATCTTTGTAATGTTCTTTTTTTGACAAATAAGTCTGTGGAACAATACATCCTCTGTTAATGCTGTTTAAAATCAACGAGTATTTAAGCCAATATTTTGTCCTGTTTCTTAAAGGGGAAGTTAAGGCTTGTTCATTTCATATCCTCATGTTAATTAGTATTACTTGCAAATACAACTAGAACTTTCATCATATCGCCATGTGAATTGATTTAATCTGTATAAAGGATCATCGTGTTAATGTGTATCGGTGTGCTTTTGGATATTATGTAATCGATGTAAACTATGGTTGAAAAGCATCCATGATTTATTCGTTAAACACCACTTAGACACTAAATTTACATTAGAAAACAAGTGAAACTACGAATTTTATTTCGAGATATGTTGATCACCAGAACTAACACATGAAACTAGAAACTGAATGGAATCGAAAGCCAACCTACCCTGATTAAATCGTGAGCCACAAAACTGGTTATGTACGAAGCCTTCTCGAATTAATAAAGGTAAATTACGCCTGATCTGTGGGAGGATTATTGATATTTTTGTCTTTCAGATTCGAGGCTGGGATGGTAAGAAATGGTTTACAACTCAGGAATAGATTCTAATAGTGTTGGATTCTATTAGCTTTGAATATGCGACCTTACCGGAAGTCTGACTGTATATACAAATATATCTTAATATACTTATCAAAATAATTATCAATCACAAACTCATCTGGAAGAACAAACGGATGGATTACATTGTCCTACACAGAAAATATATCAGAGTCTATAATCAGATTAATTGAGGTATTTTAAAATTGATTTATGTAATAAGTCAACATAATCTCTATCCTAATATTATAAAATCCGAAGAATGAACAATGAAGACAAATTGTTTATTGGAGGGAAGGGACATTCGTCATCAATTCTTTTTACCAAGAATGTATATTCTCGCTTAGCGTTTAGTCAGAAATTACGAATTGCTAAATATCTGGACTTAATTATATCTATTTACTATCTTTCTTCTTGTTAGTAATCCACTGGAACAACTCCCATCACCAATGACTACAGATATACTTTTTGAATTATGGAATAGTGTTGTGGAAGATACTTCTGGACAATCAATGCTAACTACTAATACCGTCACCACTACTGGTTCTACTAATGTTGATTCGTCTAACGCAACTATGTACAATAATAACCACCATGATATATCCATTACAAATCCAAATGATTTATCAAATTTTTACTCAGTTCAAAGTATGATTTGTTGTTCAGTGTTTGCCTATTTATTATTTTTTTTTCGTGTGTGTAATCTTTTCGTTTTCGAAACTACTTCATCATATTATTGAAGTTTGAAATGCGTTAGGTCAACAAGTTGTATAGATTGTCAGGTCCTGAAACATGCCGTTTTTTACCAGTAGTTTGCCATTTTTGTCATGAAAAGGGAGGTAGCACGCTATATTTATGTAAGAACAGAAGTTGCAATTCAGTTAATCCATCTGCTAATTGGTTAGAACTAGATAGGTGGGAAGAAGTATATTGATAGAAATCAATCATAGAATGGAACAAATTACAATCGTTGATATTCAGTTAACTATTTAAAGCATAACTATATATACTCTCAGTAGTATCGATCATCATGAATAATAAACTGGGAAAATGCCCTATTTGTCTTATTTTTCTGAACTCTGTCTAATCCAAAAGGAAGGGTTGGCTTGTTTGATTATGTTTACAACTATGTGTTTTCACGTAAGACGATAAAATACGGAATTTCAAAACATTAGCAAACTGAAAAGAGGACGTTTTAAACAGCGTTAAAGTAAGAGCAATATAGTTTGACAGTTATATGTTAGCCAATTTTTTCGGTTGTAAAACGGTCATATTTAAAAGGTCTTTTGAGGACTTATTCATGATTTTCATCTCTAAAGTTTCACCAATTTATTCCATAGATGTTTAACTGTTGTTTATAGGATTAATCATGCCCTTTGGAATGAGAGTGTGCATGAGCGTTTTTCGGTGTTATGAAAGACAGTATTTAATTAATAAGGCTGTCTTGAGAAACACTTTAACAAACAAAGTTTTCGTACTTTAAGTATGGAATATAGTTCCCATGACTTTTGAGATGGTTAAGAAAAGGAGAGATTGTTAAATTTTTCGTGATACTTCATAATAAAAATCAACTGTGTTTAAATAACTATGTCGATTGTTGATTGTATAATTTGTTCTCTTATCGTGTTACTGTTTTATTATAAATATGCCTATAACAGGTAATAATAATACAATGAATTTTACAGATGCATCATATCATACAGTTAGAAATACAACTGATAACTATAAAAGTAGTGGGAATAACACTACTTCATTGTCTTGTTCTTTTATTTCTTCCTCTCCCGTTATTACGTCCACGACTACTACTACTACCACCACTTCTGCTAATACTACTCCATCTCCTATTCCCGCTTCTCCTCCTGCTGCCTTGATGAGATCAATAGCTTGTAGTACTGTTTCTCCGACTACTACTGTTCAATCGAATATCAATTATCCATCAATGGACAGAGATCAATTGCCCGTTCAGTTATCGGATAGTTTAGGAAGAATACCTGTTATTAACGTAAGGTGTAATTGTTGTATGAATTTTATAGTAATGTATTCCCTCTTTTTTGTGTAGTTTCGTTGTTGTTGAGTACATCGTTAACTAGTTGAACGTTGTAAACATTTGAGATGATAGTCTTTTTTAAACATGCTACTAAACCGTACCTAGTATCATTTTAATCATTATAGATTTTGATTAAAATTTCCACTCTCCTTGTTTGGTTATCAACCTTGGAATGGTATTTGAAGAATAATTGAGTTGAAAAAGCTCCTGGTAATGAGATCAGTGTCTTTATGTAGAGAATAAACGTGCTTAATTATTCGGAGTTTTAGATATGTATACTTTGATATGCCTCTTCTCCCTCTTCCCTGAGAATTCCAAGTTAGGAGTTGCCTTATGATAGAGTTTTCCACAAAATGTATCCTATCCTTTTACAGTATCTTTTTGTAATTTTCTTCTCAACTGGTGGCTGGTGTGCTCTCTACCGCAGTAGCGTATTTCTGATGGTCTCTGTTTCATCGATCTCGAGTATTGTGCTTAGATAGCTGTTTATAAGTATCTGTACTTTTTCAATGATGTTGGTGGTAGTTTTGTGGTATAGGTATAAGTAATATGTAACACCAGTCGGAAGTGGAATGCCTGTCAGCAGAAGATTGAATTGGAGAGAGCAGAAAGCGAAATAGAGGAATTGGAATGACAACCGAATTCAAAGAATGAAGAAGTATGTACAGGACAACTCAAGGATGATGTGCAAATAGTGTATTTAATATACGATTTTCATATTTTACGAGAGTACTGTGTAATTTTGCATGTAATAAGAAATTGGTTTGCCCCACCTGAATTCTCGTTTACTAAAGTTCTTTAAGTTTCAATAGAACTGTCCCAACATTTGTGTTGAATATTTCGACTTTGGTGTTGGGTGATAGTTCATTTGGTTTGCATATATTCTTTTCTTTTAAGAATAGGGAGAGAATAGACAGCCTTGTCTGATACCAAAATTCACTTGAGATGCATTTGTGAGCTTTCCTCCATTAATTGCCTTGCAATTCAGTGTCTTGTACGAGTTCCGTATGATGGTGACGATCCTTTTAGGCACTCCATATTGTCGAGGGAGATTCATCACTTTTCGCTATGCATCCTGTCGAATATTTCCCAACAGTTGAGAAAGTTAATGAATAGAGGTGAGTTTCATCCCATTGATCAACAATGATTTGGATTGTTGTGATTTGTTTGGCAAATGATCTATCCAGCTAGTTGTTCCCGAAGTTTTCATTTGGTTTAACAAAAACATTGATAGCTTCACCTGGCACTAACAGTGGTGCTATACCTCTGTTGTTCTCTTACTATGATTTCATGTCCTCGGTGTCTTGATGAGGTATCTCTGTTTCCAGTTTGTCGGTATTTGTTCTTCCTCGTAAATCTTTCTAAAGAGAATATGGAACATCTTTGCAGTTGCCTCCATATCTGAGTTCAGTGCCTCAACTGGTATGCTGTGTGGACCTGCTGCTTTAGCATTCTTGTCTTGTTTGATGACCTGCTGATTTCTTCCATCATCAGTTTGGTAACACTTATAGGGTGGTTTGTGTGTGCTGTCTCGATGTTCATTGTGTATAGTGGAGCTGGTTTATTCAAGAGTTTTTTAAAGTGTTCCAATTACCTGTTCTACTACTTTTGAATCTCAGTGATTGGTTTCCCTTCTTTGTTTTTTTCTCGAATCTTGTACAGACTGTCTACAGAGATCTATAGTTTCCGCTGGTGATTCATGGGTATCAACACCTGGCATGTTGTATTTATTCCTCCATTATCCCCTTCTATTTGGTCCTCATTGTGCTCCCCTGTTCCAGTAGATTTTGTAAGACTTGGAAAGGGTTGCTGGAAGCTACGTTCAATTCACTGATCTTGTTAACAGTTCGAGGGAAAGATTTTTTTACTAACTTTTGTGATGCTGTTTGTCTAACTGTACAACAGTTAGTTTGCTTTAGTTTTAGCCTAGTCACCACCAGCTTTATCAACTTTTATATTTGTTATTACGTCTTCCGTGGACCATGAACCTTCTGGACGTTTTATTAGTGCAAATGGGGTTGACCTATTTTTCTTTAGTGTGGTCCGGTGGAACTCATTTAGCTTCGTGCATGCGTTTGTGGGGGAAGCGGTTCCACCTATAACCATGTTGTTGAAAGCACATAGATTTATCATTCTCTCATCATTCTCGTTCCTTTTCCCTAGTTCACATTACCCTATGATATCTTCTTACCCCGATGTTATCCATCACGACCTTGACGTATAGATTCCCCACTGGCGTGATCAGATCTCTTCTTGGACATCTCTTTGCGATGGACACCAGCCTCTCACGAACTGATCTTCGTCTGCGCTGCCATCATTGGTGGCATTCATTGTAACTTCTCAAATATTTGTTTTAGAGAATATTTTGATAGTCCTGGATATATGAGATTCCCAGCCCTGAGCACTTTTCGTGCTTTTTTTTGGAGCAAATCGGTGCAATCTTTTTTATGTTTAAGGTACTTTCTTCATAATCAGAATAAGACAGAGCGTCTCCCGAATTTATTATTTTGTGTCCAATGAGTTTCATGTATTCCAAGCAGAGCAATATTGTATTTTCTCATTTCCGTTTCTACTTCAATGGTCTTCCTGGTCCAACACATTTTGAGAACATTCCATTTATCTCTATTGATTGTTGTTCTGATTGTCAGAATAGAAATGGTCCTCGTGATTTTCAAAGAATATCAGCTTTCATCATAAGGCGTTATAACTCTTCCATATGAAGAACCTTGAACACCCAGATCAGAGTCTAGATGGGATCATTAGTTTATTCTGGTTAGCATATTTTTGGTGATCTTCTGTTTTACAAGATGGAGTTCTTAATGCCATAAAGAACTTTCCTCCTTGGGGTCAGCAATAATTCTAAAAATGCTCTAGGAGGAGTTTAATTACATTACTAGCTGATAATCATCTATTTATATTATTTTTTCATATATTATCATTTATGGAATTAGATCCCTTTATGAATTTAAATAAAGCCCGAACAAACATGGATGCAAAATAATATGAATTCATTGATGGTGGAGATTTGTAGCTCAGGTGGATGAATTCATTATATTTCGTGGTTTCTCATCAGCTGCTTATAACCAGATATATGTTAAAATTTTACATTGAGGTAAGATATAGTGTGAATCAATTGATATAAGTGAATGAAAAGAATTAGAATGACAAGGGTTGTCAATAATAACTATATATATATGCAAGAATAGGTCGGCGGTCATTTGGTGTTAGAATAAAAAATTATGAGGGGTGAGTAATGTAATAATTGAGTGAACTTCAGAGTCAGATAAGGTAAATTTTGTGATAATTTTAGAGGTAATGAAGGGTTTACACAAGATTCCTGGAATTAAAAAACTCTTAGGATGGGTTGCGTAATAACTGAACAGAATTTGAAGAATACATAATTTAAGAAAATTGAGTGAATGGAAGTGTATGAGTGAAGGGATGGTTTTAATGTACATAAAATAAGAATTCGGTAATGGAAGAGCGATATAACAAAATAAAACTAATGACCAAAAAATGAATTATCAGGGTAGTAATAAGTTTATTACTATCTCTTTTTGGATACATAGATCGGATCGCAATTGCTTCGGCAAACCGAAGAGAAATTGTGTTTCTTTGTTTGCTAATAATTTTGAAAGCTTGAAGAATGTCAATGCCCTTTGTCAAGTAGATGCCGAGTTAATTGCACTACTGAGAACCCTTTCTCCTCTCAGTTTCAATTTCTGTGGAATATGCTCGGAAGTGCGAACATATACTCTTCTCTCAGTTCGTCCAATGTATGTTCTTTGGCATGTACATGTAAATTGGTAAATGCAATTGGAACTGCCGAGAAAAGAGGACCTCTCAATTTTAGTTTATTTGAACGAGCAGTTCGTTTCCCATAGCATCGTCAGTTTTGTTGATGTGTAAACCACTTTCAACGCGGAATTTAGCTTGTGATTAATTATTCCAGTTATTTCATCTCCTTTGAAGCGCAAGTATAAGAAACAAGTTATTTTCAACTGTAGTCCGAGGTTTGGTTTTGGCATATTTTTGAATGAACTTCGCCGGATATGGATGTTCACATATGCAATTTGTAATGAGAGAAATTCCATCTTCCAGGCATTCATTTTAGCAAATTTTGCGTGCGCGGTCAAAAAGGGTTCGTACAATACACTTTTTGTATCTCATTCGACAGGAACTGTTGTAATTGAGATAAACACCACTCCATGAATTTTTGCGGTGAATGTGTCTTTGTAATGTACCGTCTGAGGTTCGTCTGATTCCAATATCTAAAAGATGGAATATACCTTATACTTCGTGTTCTATAGTAAGATCTATGTCCTTGTGTGCTTCGCTAAACAGATGGAGTAGGTTCATGGAATGCTTTTGATTGTTGCAGACGAGAAATGTGTCATCAATATATCTACATTTAGGAAGCATTTTCCTACAGGTTTGATTCTGAGCTATTCCCTAGACCGTTGAATACAGAGTCTTGGTTTGACCAAAGTCCGAACAAGCAAGCTATTTGGCTAGATAAACTTTATCTCTTTCTAAAACATAAATTAACATCGTTAGTGTACAAACAAACAGTACGGTCTATTAATACAGGGAAAAACAGAGACAAATAACATACCGAACAGTAGCCAGAGAATAGTAAAAATGAGTCAACAAAGCAAATATTATAAGCAAAGATGGATAGTGGCTAGCATAATGCTTGTAAATTAAGACAATATCGAGGCATACGCACAGTATGCACATATGCCAATAACAGACTGATCAATTTCAGTCCTAAAATATCAATGGGAAGATTCAAGTAAAACAATACCAAGTGAATTAAAGCAAATATTGTTTTACGATGAACATCAAACTGTGATTGGTTAATAAAGAGATACAGTCGCACAAGGTCAAAGGGAGTTAATGTGGTGGTGGGCGTTTCACTTTATTATTGGTGGGTTCTTCTATCGACCACATTTTACACTACAGTAGAGTATAGTTCCATCGTTTGCTTGTTTGAGCTTCCTGTGTTTCAGGATTCCCATAAATATGTCGACCAGAATTGGACTCAAATAGCTACTCCATCAATTTGGCGGTACAACACACTGTTAAATTGAAATTGTATATTTTTGGTACACAGAAACAGGAGATTTTGAATTCGTGGATTGGTAAAGACAGAAGGTTAGGATATTCACATATTATGCTTTCGTTTCTTCCAAAGGGATCTTTGTGAAGAGTGATGAGATATTAAACGAGATCATAAATTTGTCGAAAGCATTTAGACTATCAATTATTACATCACTCACCCCTCATATTTTTTTATTCTAACACCAAATGACCGCCGACCTATTCTTGTATATATATATATATATATATATAGTTATTATTGACAACCCTTGTCATTCTAATTCTTTTCATTCACTTATGTCAATTGATTCACACTATATCTTACCTCAATGTAAAATTTTAACATATATCTGGTTATAAGCAGCTGATGAGAAACCACGAAATGTAATGAATTCATATTATTTTGCATCCATGTTTGTTCTGACTTTATTTTTATTATCATTTGTTTGTTTATTTGTGTCTTGCGTACTTTCTAACTTTTATTTATTAATTCCGTTTATTTTTTTTGATTATTTTAGCATCGTTCATCGCCATCTAATTTGCAATCTAATAATTTTCTACATTATCCAACTTTTAATTCTCAAACATTTATCCCATCATCCAATTCATTAACTCCCACTACTGCTTCTACTATTATGTTCAGTAATCATGGAAATGAAATGAATCCTCAATCCCATCCGTTATTATGGTCTAATTTATCTCATGCAGCAGATAGAATTTTATCTGTCAAGAAAAGTAGTTCATCAAATGTGTTCAGTACTACTACTGATCATATTAATACTAATGATAAACGTGTCGGATTTCTACATTGTACTGATAAATCATCATCTCACTTATGTTCAATGATAAATTTCGGGTCGACTTCACAAAATCATATACGACAACCAACTACAGAATTTCTAACGGATATTTTATTGACATCGTCATCATCATCATCGTCATTCAATAATAATCCCAGCTTAAGTGTTGGTGAATTAATGGATACAACAACAACGACAACAACCAATACAGATTTTTCATCGATTTTATCATTTCCTGTTTCATTAAATTTAAACTGGTCAATAGGTACTTAATTGCACAGGTTGTAATGATGACAGTGATGAGACCTATTCTTTCTGTTATGCTTGTTGTTGTCACCTTATTAATGTCCAATCAAATTCACATTTAATTGAGTTCAAACCAATGATGTCTTTCAATGAGTTTATTTACTTACATCCATGTGATTCTGATACTCTCTCTTTCTCGGTCTCTCTTTATGTGTATTTGTCATTCGAGAGTACATTCTTAATATGTTTTTATTTTTATAGTTACATTACAAATAACAGCTCTATATTATTTTGGCTTGAATTAGTTGTTTCACGTTATTCTTCTCTCTTCCCCTTATCCTTTGTAATTTTTCTTTTTATTATGACAGTTGAAATATCCTTATTTACCTATAGGAATATATATCAACATTTGAATGTAAATGCTACACATTAATTTATCAACGAGTCTTTTGAAACAATTTTATTTAAACATTTTGATCTGAATAAATGCTGATTGTTATTTCTGCTTCAATAGGTATATTTATTTATTGTACATTTTAGTGCTTACATCTTGTATAAAATCAATAAAATATACCATATTGTTAACGATTCCACAAACTTGTCGCTATTATAATTTACACTATTTATCTTTTTGCTCTAAGTTTTGTACATGTCTATAATGTGAATAATAGTTATGATTAGAATTGTTATTTTCGTGCCTTATCGAATTATCAGCTTATATCCATCTATCTATTTAATCTCTGTGTATATGAAACTTTATTGTAAATGTTTAAGGTATTTCTTTTTTTCCTGTTTCTACCGCCTTTACTGTTCTCATTGTTCAAAGTTTCGATACTTAAAGCATCTCCGTTTGCAGTTGTTGTTCAGACTGGTTATAAGATTGAAAGGAAGAGAAAGATAGGGGTCGGTACAAAATTCCTTGTTCATATGTTATTTTACTTGATCTTAATTATAACAATGGTGATTTTCGTTTGTAGGAAAAAAAGAACCACTTCAGCCCCATACTTGTTTGTATTTATGTATATTCAACTGTTTAGTGTTAGCATCAATATTAATAGAAATAATATTGTAATTTACTTAGACTAACCATTATTTTCCTAAATATATCTTGTTTCCCTTTACTTTCATTTTGTTACCTATTCAAAATTGTACTTTTACGACAGCTTGTTTCTGGTTGGCGCAACTAATCAACAAGTATATGTTTGCGAAAAACAACGCACACTAATGAATTGCATCATACACTATTTTCAATTAAAAATACACCCAACGTATGTAATACTTTCTTGTTATTTTAATAATATGATACTTTATCCTGTTTTAGTGATTTACTGCATCACTTCAGAATTATGTACAAAATCAGTATTTTATAAACTGGTCCAGTAAAATTATTATTTGTCATTCCTACAATTTTTTCTCCTATGTGTATGTATATATGTGTGTTTTTCACACTAAAAGTGTATAACGACTACCTCTTTTCACTTTTTTTGCATCCATTTAAATTGTTTGCTTTCAGTGAATGTATGAACTGAAAACAAGCTTACATTAAATCACAATAGATGATAGGGTCATTCAAAGTAATCTGATATTTTACTTTGAATTGCTTTCAAAAAATTGTTTCTTCTTTTTGATTGTGTAATATGTTAGCTATGAGTTTCAGGTAATGTCCGTTTAATTTGAACAAGTCCTATTAAGTTATTGGAGATAATCGACAGGAAGGTCTGAGCTTTGGATTCATGTTCGTTGGAATTCATCGTCCACAAGGCCAGCCAAACTGGTTAAAATATATTCATTCAACTGCTTGGTTACGTTTTCAACTCTAATTCTTACATAGCGGAGTTTTATAATAAACCGACTACATAATCTTAGCTTAGAATTTGCCTTTACATCTGTGTAGCTTCTAAGTAATTACTACTTTAGAGGAAGCATTGCTTAATTGATCAACCAACATTAATTTTGTATTGATTTGATTATTAACTGTAAAGCTTATACTATTCGTAAAGAGCCTTGATGAGGAACTGATTAAAAATATATTTCTTTACTCAACTTCTGTTTTCAGAGGTTTATTAAGGTGAGGAAGTAACCACCAAAGTATTAAGTCTTCTCACTTTTATATAATATTCTGAATGATACTGAGCAATTGGATAGTAAATGTACATACGTAAATGCATCTATCACCATTGATTTATTCAGTTATCACTCGACATGTCAGGGTGTATGTTCACTAGAAAATAGGATTAAACTATACTGACGAGCAAATCCGATATTAAGGGTGCCTCCAAGAGTTTTGAGCGGAATTCGAAGTTCAATGAGAAGTACTCTTTATTGAGAACTAATTAAAAATTGTCTATATCTAGTTCCTAAAATACTTAAAATGATCTTTCATGCAACTACAAAGTGAATGTGACTTATTGCGCAAGAGATGCCTGCTGATGGTACTTTATGTGATACAGGAGATAGTCAAGGAGATTTGTATAACACAAAACTGTTCATTCACTCTAACTCCTAACCTTAACCTTGATAAGTTTATAAACAGTAGGGTGGAACTATAATCTTTGAAATATCTAATGAGACATAAGATAGGTCCTTTTGAATTTTCACCAAAATTTCACTCTTCCATTTATCTATACAAAGCGTTCTTGCATTATGGGATGGGTTTTCGAGCACCTATCAGTGCGGTAGATGCTACTGAGATCCAGTGTTTCTCCCTAACCTTGTGATTTACCGTAATAGCAGGTATCGCTGCTGTTTCCACAGCTTTTTGGATGTCATTACACGCTGCCTCGGGGTGGGCATCACTTAAATGACGGCCTAACAGATTTTCTAGTTGTTCCTGGAATAAATTCTTAGATTGGCTATCATTAAGTAGGACCCTAAGTGGTATCCTTACAGCATCTTTCCTACGTTCAGTAAGACTCAGACAAATAAGTAACTCACACTACAACATGATCTGAATATAAGCATGTGCTACAGAATGAGCGACAGCCTTCCGTCGAGCCTCTTCATCTGTGGATGATAGCGATATGATCTATTTGGGTCCAACGTTGGGAAGAATTCAGAAGTGTAAGTAATAAATTAAGAATCTATATTTTCTATTGTTGGATTTAATCAGTCGGTTTCGTTTATGAATGGAATTCCATAACAAGCCACTGCTCATGCGGATATAAGAATTTATAGCTCGGTTGATGATTTTTGATGGAGTTTCGTCGGACAACCGAACTATCCAACTCGGAGAACAAAATCTATCAGAAAAATCTCTCCTCAATTTGTTTTGCTTATCAAACACATTTTAAGGGGATCGATCACCTTAGTTCTCAGAGTAGATGTCGACTGAGGATCAGGACTGCAGTGAGCTTTCATGCTCCCTAAGTCAATTATCGTGTATAAAACAAAAGCTTATTCAGATAATCTAACTCGGATAACGAACCTCTTTTGGTAAATGGCATTTGTATTTAACCTTACCTGTGGTAACATGTACGTAGGAAGTACATATAAGGTATTTTATAAAAGAATCTCAAATTAAACACCAAATAACTCCACATTATCTAACAGTGTCAGAATTTATCTCTCTTCAAAAATACTTCACAAATGTTCAGTGAATTTCATGCTAATCGACACCTGATCGTTAACATATATCTTTTATAAAGTTAGAAATGTTATACGAAGCATTCTTGGCTAATACATATTCCGGAAACATTTTCCTCTGTGTTCATTTGGTAAACTAAATTATCTTTTGCTTCACAAATTACCGATGTCTGTGATATTAAAAACCAAACTCTTAGTTTTCGCTTAATATTAATCAGATGAACAAGCGGAATTCGGTAAAAGGATTTGATACGATTTCATTATTAAATAATGTACGATAACTGGTTGTTATTCCAATGTACAGAAGATTTAGTTTATAATTGAGAATCTTAAGATTTTTTTCACTTACTGGCAAAACAGATGAAGATAAAACTTTGTTGCATAGAATTTATCGGTTTAGACTCTCAAATAAACCTCCTTCCTTTTAAAAACTTTCGGTTAGTCTTATTAACAACATTCATATCGTTGACATGGCTTTAAACGTATAATTTCTTGAAGATAACTCACTTATTAGTCTATTTAAATGCAAATAATACTGAATGTACAACTTTATACTCCCGTCATGCCATCAAGTGATTCCATATATCGGTCATTTGCATCCAATCTATCTATATTTTAAGTTTGTTTGTAGAATATTTATTGGCAAAGTGATTGCAGTTGTTTCATTAAGCCATAGATTTTTCCCAAAACACTACATTCCATTGAATGCATAATTTGTAAGTACTTAATATGCCATTACTACGTTTATGAGTACAAAATTATATCACACAATGATTTTTAATAACACATTTATTACTTCTGCACTATTGTAGATATAGTTGCTATTGTGTTCTGTGCTTATCACTTTTACAAATTACTTCTGTTGAATTAAGTTTAATTAAATTGATTATATTCATTTGAATCCAATTTATCGGTTGTAATAGTATAGTCAAGTACATGTTAGGGTATCTCGCCTTCAGCTACATTTTAGTTGTTTGTGTGTGTGTTTGTGATACCTACCTAACTTCTCTAATACAAGGAGATGGAGCACGAGGTTCAAACCTGAAACATAAATGGTTGAAAGTTAACTGTATTCACAATTAATCAAATTGCAGCACTAAAATACTTCTATATTTATAATGCCCTAATGAATAGGAAATCGGGTTTCTGACGTTTCACAACTTCGTGTAAGGCGCATCTTCAGAGAATAAATAAACGAAATAAATGAACGTAAGTTTAATTACTAGTAAAGAACAAGTTGTATATTTGTTACAAACCAAACGAGACTGATCATGTCATTCGGGTCAAGGTGACATATTTGTGTGTATCAGTCTGGAAATGAAAAATGTGATAATTGTAATGAGAAAGAGTAGAGCTAATTAATATGTGTATTGATGGTGTGAGATTTGAACAAGTTAAATCTGATTTTGAAATTCCACATCATGGAATGACTTGAGTTCGACAACGACTGAAAACCTGATCAGAGTCACTGGACAATACTGCTGAACGAAACAGATGTTCTGTGCTTCTTGGTCTTTTTCAATGGTTACCTGATCAAAGTCAGTTCGTATAAATCCGTACGTGCTAATCATTCACGTCTAATTTAACTTCTAATCATGTTTATCTTTGTGTTTATTATTTGGTATGTATGCACGTTATTTGATTAAATGGAAGATAACACATTCGAAACCTTATGCTATCAACTTCTAGTTTCGATTATCAGATTGTCTTAATCTCGCATTCATGTTATTTCTGATTGTGGTCGACTGATTTGATTATTCACTGTAAGTGCATCCTATATGCTTATTGAGTCGCCGGCTCAATTTTTCGATTGTTCTTTTCCCTTACAGATTATATCATATACCGATTCTCACTCCCTCAGGACACAAGTTACCTTCAGACTAGACACAAACCTATCAAAGGTTTGACGTTACAGGGAAAAAACCTGTTATTTCGACTAGATCTCTTGTCTTTGATACCAGTTCATTTGGAGGTTTGCGTCAATAACCCGATCTTGTGAGTAGTTACCACTCGACCACATTGTATTATTTATCATTCAGAGTTCTGTTCACTTAATTTTAATAACTGAAACTCACTCATCACTCATCGGTATTCAAAAGCTATTGTAGTATTAAAAAAATAAACAAATAACTTATACATTGGTACCGCATAACTAATAGGCTTTCATAACATTATTTCTATCCATAAAGACTATCTATATTACAATATTACTGTAGTAATGATGAATATGATGTCATGCATTCAGGATCAAACAGTCTTACTTCATTTGTTCATAATAATGCAATATAGATTTTTAGTGTTGATCTATGGTGATTCATTCAATAAAATTTACCTTTTACAAACGAGTACAAGTCACATAGTTATTATCGAAAAATGTAATAAACTGTGTGGTCCACAGAGGATTTTGTCAAATTTATCGATCACTAGTATGATCAATTATTCGAAAGAACATTCTTTCTTTATTGATTTTGTTCAGTAACCATTATTTGACTGATTAAATGAGATTATTATTATTACAACCACTGCTACTACTGATAATAATAGTAATAATATATTTTAAATCGTCAAATGAACTAGTTGTTCACTTTCGAGATGATTTTCCTTACACATTGATATTAGTTAAAGAATTTTTGAAGAGCTAAGCAGTCTTGTACAGTTCTCGAACTACTCAACAGTATGGGTACACTCACGATTCTAAGAGAGAGAAAGAGAGAGCTTGAGCTCATGTAGTTTCTCAAAATAGAACAAAATAGTTGTTCGGTACTCCTCGATTCTTTGATGAAAACCACCTTCAAATTCAACAACTGTTCTTTACACTCTAAATATTTGTTACATTCAACTTGACCCCTTAATAAAATTGAACAGAACGAGAATAAATAAATTTTGTAAAGTAAATTGAACTCATTCTATCACACGGCTTCTCATCACCAGTCATTCATTATTTTCATGACGACTACACAGTCTTTTTTATCGCTAACTATAATACCACATGCTCTTCTATGCATGCATGAGTATCTTTTTCAACATGGAAATACGCGTCAATCTTAACTATGTTCATTCACACATTCCTCTTCCTCTTATTACGACTCCGTTCCAAACATTCATTTCAACGTCAGAAACTGAAGTATGTTAAACCTTTGTTTATAATGATATTACTCCTAACAATCTCAGGTTGTTTGTAGTTGATGAGAAGCCTTGAAACAGGATGGATTCTTCTTATTCGGCAAATCTTGTTGCTTTGTTTAAATTTATTAATGGAACTGAATGTATGAACTCATACTTTTCTTAAAGAGATTTAAAAAGCATTCGTTTAAATATATCAGCTAACTTATTTACCAAGTCTGTAAGGAATATTAATATCATTTGACTGTCTATGAATAATGTTAAAACTGTTAATTTTTTCAGTTTTTATTATTTGATTCCTTGTGTGTTATTTGTTAATGAGTTTACTGTAC